ACCAAACCATGCCTTCTGCATTGTGCAACATGGGCAACAAGCGCAGTCGCGCGAGAGACCCGATCGAACATCACCTGATCTGTATCATGGAGGCCTGCACCTAGCATAGTTGGGTGGTCGGCCTCGTGATTTCCCGTGTAATGTACCCCAGCAAGGGCGTGGTTGTGGGAACGTAGATGAGTCAGACGAATTAGGTAAGACCCAATGCTTGATGCAAGACGGTGGACACCCCCCCCATAATGAACAGCCAACAGCCCGTCAGTGGTTAGTGCTCTCGGAACCTAGCCGCCACATAAAAACCAAATACTGTGCATCAGGGGAAGCGCGAGAAAAAATACAAATAGAAAGCATGCCACTCCGCGCCTGGGACGTCCTGGACCACGCATGGGCGCGCCCCACGGGCCGAAGCGTTCAACGCTTCGGCCTATGGCATATCCTAGTTCCAGAAAAGGAACGCACTCCCCACCCCGCCAATGATGTGAGCGGTGATGATCCACAAATACCTGAGCCGTCGCCACGCGCAGGCGAGGGGGACATGGGGGCCTTCACGGGCGACCTCCCGCACAAAGTCAAGAAAAACAAAAGCAAAGAAGTAGGACCAACGTTGGTCGGAACCCAAAGCTGAGGTCCAGGCAAGGTTGTCCCGGCACTGCCCCCCGCAATACTTATGGGCTGGCGAGGCACCGAGCCGGCGCCGACAATATCACAAGCCATCGCAATCGTAGAATGTGTGGAAGATCGGATTTACAGGGAACGGACCACACAGGGGGCACTTACGCTTAAAATATACACCCCCAAACAAGAAGGCGCGCAAAGCACGATGCTGGAGATCGCTCCAACCCAGGGTTGGCCAACTTAGCAAGGCCCTGATGGGGCATAGGAAAAGGGGGTCCAGCAAGGGTGATCCAGCGGGTGTCTGTCAGACGCCTGCTGCCAGGTCCAAGCACGGGCTGCCCGACCCACTAAGGCCACAAGCTCACGAGGGGAAGTAGACGCAATATCTAGACTGGCGCCCAATGCGGCATGCCAGACTGTCGGGAATTCGAAAGACCATCCAATTCTGAGCAAGGTAGCCACAAAAGAGCACCAGGGCCCTGGAGAGAAGTCCAAGGAGTCTGATGGGTGGCTGCGTCGATGGCACCCTGCAAGACACGATCAATCATCCCCCAAGGTAAAAGAGACATCCACCGGGATGGCGTCCAAAGACGAACTACTTCTGCGCGAGCGTCTACAGCTGGGCCCGCCACCCCTGGCAAGGTTATGTCCACGGTGGCGGAGCGGCGCTTGCCTGTGCCAACACCAACGTGGCATGCGTCCCGGATCTGCTCAATCTGGTAAGTACCCAAACCCACTGCATCAACGCCGATGGCGACCGTGGGACGAAGGTTCGTTGTGCTGATGCAGTGGACATGAGCCCCATGCACGCCGCAATCTAACACCCAGACCATCCGCGTGCCCCGGTGATGCTTAGCGCTACGCATCGCCGGAGGTGATTCTTCCGGCGATGCTTAACCTTAAGTATCTGTTCCGGCGAACTTTGTTTTTGCACCTTATAAGCCCTGGGGGGCGAGATACAATCATCCTTTTAACGTGATCGCTGCGCTGCGAAATCCATTGAAAATCAAGATCGCAACGCGCATTTTTTGGCTTTGCCATGTTGGCGGCGCTGAGCAACTGGCCCCGTCGATCAAGACGTGAAGATCGACGGGGCCCGTTGTCGTGGCACTCGTGGCTGCGCGCGCGTTGCTGCCCGACCAGCGTCTGCAGCTTGATCGAAGGACTTGGTTCTGCGTTTTCCTCCGCCTCCTCCCCCCTCCTCCTCCTCCTCCTCCTCCGCCTCCTCCTCCCTCCTCCTCCTCCCCCCCCCCCCGCCGCCTTTTCGCCCCCCCCCCCGCTCCTTCCCCTCCTCCTCCTGCAGGCTCGGAAAACAAGTCGCGACCTGACCGTTTCGGAACATCGGGCAGCGGCCGAGCCGACCGCTCGCGTCCCTGGCGCGCCTGCATCTTTCGTGGACGCGCGCGCGCCGCCACCCGCAGGAAGTAGTCCACCGACGCAGCCACTGCGTGGACATCAGCAGCACGTTCGGCCCTGGGCAGCACGGCATCCATTCGCGGCTGCGCGTGTGTCGCCGTCCGAGCAGCATCAGCTGACGAGGCCCGGTCCTGCGCTTGCTCCTGGATCCCTGCGGACACTCCTCTTCGGCCTCCTTCTCCTCCTCCCTCTTCTTCTCCTTCTCCTCCTCCTCGAGGATCCTCCTCCCCCCCCTCCTCCTCCTCCTCCTCCTCCTCCTCCTCGTCCTCTTCCTCCGTCGCTTTCTGAGATGCACGCAGAATTCTGCGTGCAGTCTCGGAAAGCGACGCGCCGTTGCGGTCGCAGCCATCCGCAGCGCGGGCATGCGCGTGCCGCGCGCGGGGGTTCCCTCCCCCGGCACTTCTTATTATTCTTTTTCTTCTTCTTCTTCTTCTTCTTCTTCTCATTCTTCTTCTTCTTCTTCTTCCTC